GTGAGCAAACATATTTTGTTTTTATGGTTTTAAACTTTTCTTTGCAGATATGAAATACTACAACATATTACATGTGGGAGAAGTGGATTAAAGCTTAGATTTCTTTTATTGTGGGAACTAGTTGTGTAAAATTTCCCCCCACGTCCTGCGTGGTTCAGGGTTCAGGATCTGGAAGAGGGCCGCAAGCAAATGAAAGAGACAAACAAGAAATAATAATTTGGTGCCAAGACCGGTTTGGCTCGGTGGATGGAGCGTTGGCCTGCGGACTGAAAGGTCCCAGGTTCGATTCCGGTCAGGGGCATGTGCCTGGATTGCGGGCACATCCCCAGTAGGGGGTGTGCGGGAGGCAGCTGATCGATGCTTCTCTGTCATCGATGTTTCTAACTCTCTCTCCCTCTCCCTTCCTCTCTGTAAAAAAGCAATAAAATATATTTAAAAAAAAAACAAAAACAGTACAGGTCTTTACTGAAAAAAATCCACACATACTATTAAGTGGCACCAGGCAGTTCAAACTTGTGGTTCAGTAATCAACTGTAGTTTGTTTGTTTTGTTTTTTGAAGATTTTGTTTATTTATTTATTTTCATTATTATTATTATTTTTTTTATTGTCTACAGTTTTACACACGTTTCCTTTTCCCCTAATTGATCCCCCCCATTCCTTCCCAGCCCAGGCAAGCCCCCACCATCAACTGTAGTTTTATTTGCCTGATCTTGAGTAAGATATTTTATCCTCTCCTTTATTCCCCTAGGCATCATTATCTAGGAACAAGGATAAAAACTATTCAGTTATCTTCCAGTTTGAATTTTTATGATGTAATGCCCTAAAAATAAAATGATAGGACTTTGAGCATGTATTCTATTATTATTCTTCCATTGTATTTCAAAAGTGATTTGTTATAATTCAATATGATAACAATATATAAATGCAAAAAGCAAAGTTACAGTGTTTGGAGAGAGTTAGTATACCAGTGAGCTATCAAGAAGAGAAATAAATCAGGAACCTTATGGTTACCCTGATTTCTAATGCTAAGAGAAAACATATGACTGTCTTATCTAATACTAAGAGAAAACGTATGACTATCCTTGATTTAAGTTAATGAAAAAGAGAGTCAAATTTATACTTTAGGTCTATTGTTGAGATTAAAATTTTTATCTTTACTTTTTTTTAAATTGAAATATCACTATGTCTTAGTATTTTCTTGTGAGTGAGCTACAAAAAGTTAATAGCTCTTAAGAAGCTCTTAATTAGTTACCTTAGGTAAGTTAAGCCTTTAATTCAAGTACCTGAAAGAACATTCTCACATAAAAGCCATAATTACTCATCAATTCATGATACTTTTTTTTTCCCGCAAAAGAGAATTTGTTACTTTATATTTTAATCTGTTGCTGCTTTGAGAGTAATGTAGGAACCAAACATTCAACTGGATTGGAGAATTTGGTTGATTGTTAGTCCCAAAGATTATAAAGGGAGAAAAACCATCCCCTATGAGTTATATCAAATTTATACTTAACTCTCTGGCCAGTGTGGCTCAGTTGGTTGAGCATATCATACCATGCACCAAGTGGTCACAGGTTTGATTCCTGATCAGGGTAAATGCCCAGGTTCAGGCTCGATCCCCAGTAGAGGGAGTGCAGGAGGCAGCCGATCGGTGTTTCTTTATCATCAATGTTTCTCTTCTCCCTTTGTCTCTAAATCAATACAAACGTATTCAAAAAGAAAACAAAAAATATATTCAACTGATTCACCTCCAAAGGGTACATGACAGAACTAAGACTTAAAACCACACTGTTTCCCTCAGATACATTTGTAGGCAACCTTCAGGAGAGTATCTAAATTTTGTTTTGCTTCCAAGATTCTTTGTCTCTGTCTTTCCATCGCTTGATTATGATGTTTTTAGGTATGGGTCCATTTGACTAGCCACTTTGGAGTTCATTGAGCTTGTTGGATGTTTTGATAAATTTGGTAAATATTTGGTCATCGTTTCTTCAGATATTCTTTCTGCCTCTTTCTCTCTGCTCCCTCTGGGTCTCTCATTATGCACATTTGATGGTGTCCCATTGCTCTCTAAAACTCTGTTCATTTTTCTTTATTCTCTATTTTTCCTATTAGAGGCCTGGTGCATGAAATTCATTCACTTGGGGAAGGGGAAGGTCCCTCAGCCTGGCTTGCGCCCTCTCACAGTCAAGGAGCCCTCAGAGAATGTCTGACTGATGGCTTAGGCCCGCTCAGGAGCAGGCCTAAGCTGGCAGTTGGACATCCTTAGCGGTGCCACAGAGGTGGGAGAGGCTCCCACCACCGCCACTGCTCTCGCCAGCCATGAGTCTGGCTTCTGGCTGAGCGGTGCTCCCCCTGTGTGAGTGCACTGACCACCAGGGGGCAGCTCCTACAATGAGCATCTGCCCCATGGTGGTCAGTGTGCGTCATAGCGATGGGTCCATCCACCATTTGGTCGATTTGCATATTAGCCTACGGTGCAATGCGACGTAAGGCAATTTTCGCTGTAAGTCGGAACCCACCTACATAAGCACCTATGTCACTCACATGGAGCACATACATAGCAGTAATGAAGTCAAACAGCAAAAAAAATTTAAAAGAAAGATAATTCCTGACCTTTACTTGTGGTAAATAAATAATAAAAAACATAAAGCACATAGGTACATACATCGAAATGACGGAACTTTTTTTTTATAAATAAATGGGAGATGGCGACATAACCACGAAACAACGTATGTCCAGTCCGACGTAACCTGAGGACTGTCTGTATTAGGCTTTTTCTACAGGGCAAGCTCTAATTCAGGTGAAATAAAGATAGTCTTGTGAGTGAGGTCTTCCAGGGAACCACCAGACAGGTTATGTGATGGCAATTCCCTGAGAATGGGGCTTTGAAGGAGCCCTCTTCTACCACCTCTCGTGGATACCAGGCTGCTGGTTTTCACTGTGATTACAGGCTGTTGTGTTTTAAGGCTACCACAGAGCTTCGGAAAG